TCATGATGGATTGTCATCATAATGGCAGGTGAAATGAGTCATTTGACTTTCAAAACGATATTGTGATCCATCCTTCAAAACAGAAGTACTGGGTACATCAATTTATGAAAACATGTGATGGTATGTCTAGATAATTCCTGATAATTCTATAATATACATATATGTACATTTAACTTTTTTCTATCCAAGACATCAGGTTGATTGAGCGTTGAACTCCCATTCGAGGCAAAATCCATCCCCCCATGAATTTCGCACTGCAAAGAATGTATACATGAATGTCATGGGAGTGGAGATCCATTTTGTATGATGAAAAAACACAGACATCATTTCCATTTAGACACGGTTCAAAATTGTTGACCACCCAAATTGGGACGTTTTTGGATCACAACCATACGCAACTTTTGAGCCATTTGAAACCAACCCCATGATGATCCCAATTTTCATTCAATTGTTGCTACAAAAAAAAAATAAATCTACCTTTGTTACAAATTATCTGTTGAAAGGCTCCATATTCAATTCCTGTGGGTTAATCTCTCACCATATCCAATCAGAATTATCCGAATTATCCTTTTGGGCGAATCACTAAAACACCACAATATCACCTTAGACATATAGTGCTTGATCAACAGGACCCTGCAAACACCACTTTGTTTCCGGTTGGTGAATATTGTACTTCAGCTGCCCTTTCTTTCTTGTGAATCCGAGAAGTCCAATGGTATCTATTTTGGCAGGATCATCCCAGGATTGCCACCGTGTTCATTCCTTCTTGCTGGTCAAAACACCGTGCTCTATGTTTTGGTTTTGGCTGCAACATCTCCCACCAGTGATATGATATATTGATATATATTGATTACACCATGTTGGATTTGATGATGTTCAATGAAATTGTACAACTCCCATCGTACCCAACTATGACAGGACATGAAGCCATTATGATGATGTAAACAACCCAGCATATCTTGAGAATGAGGCCATCATACCCCAAAAAATCAAGATCTTGGATGGGATAAAGATGTCGAACCCAATAGAAACAATCCCTAGTATCAACACCATAGCCTAAATGGGGTTGTTATTGGGCTCACCATATTAATACATACCCCATGACACACACACAGACATACACACAGACATACATACATACATACATACATACATACATACATACATACATACATACATACATACATACATACATACATACATACATACATACATACATACTACATACATACATACATACATACATACATACATACATACATACATACATACATACATACATACATACATACATACATACATACATACATACAGACATACAGACATACAGACATACAGACATACAGACAGACAGACAGACAGACAGACATACATACATACATACATACATACATACATACATACATATAGACACAAATGTATACATACACATATACATGTACATATGCATATACATATACATATATACATACAAATACATATGCATATACATATATATATATACATACACATGCACACATACATACCATAAGGTTGCAGTACATGACATAACATTTCTTTACATTACATTGCAATGCATGACATGACCAGACATGACATAACATGACATTACATTACAATACATTACATAGATATATCCATGCACCTGGAACCCAAATAGAAGTCATTTGGGGTTCCAACTACAGATTGTTGGTCATTCGTCCCATTCTATCACCATTCAAAACACATGCCAAGGAAAATATCATCCCAAGGTTTCTCACCATCCTCTCACCATATCCCAAGGTTTCTCAGTGGCACCATTTTTGGTCAGATCCCTGGATTCCGAGGTGAAGACCTGCATGGAGAAGAGCTGCCAGGGCTGCGGGGGCGAGCAGTGCCAGCTGTGCCGTCAGGACGCCAAGCGCGTGGCCACCTGCTGCGATGATCACTGGCATTCCGTGGAACCTCCGCAGAGCTGCAAGGACTGCCATGGGGCCATGGGGAAAAAAAACACCCTTGGAGTCCGAAGACCTCAAGAAATCGGATGGGTTTCAGGTTGAACAACTGGAGATGGTTTTTTTCAGGTTGCTGTTGGTGCTTTCTTTTGTGGTTTCTTGAGCGAGTTTTGTTTTTTTTCTGTTTGGCAACTTGTATGCTGGTTGAGGGATGGTGGTTCCTCTGCATTTTGGCCGACTTGGGCTGCCTGAAACTTTTTGACTGGCTGTTCTAAGGCGATTGTTAATCAAATCATCTTCACATTTGGTTGAATCCCAATTTTGGTTGCCTCAATCCAGCACCACTGTTAGTTCCTCCAAACAGACAGTTGGATATCCCCAATCCCAAATCCTCAATGTGAGTTGGGTTAACAGTGGTATTTTACTAGTTGCAGTATATCAGTATATACCCATGTTGGTTGGTTAGCTCACCACTTTTGTTGGTAGAACCACCATGTTGGCTTGCTATGTCCATATTTTGGTTTAACAAATCCATATTTCGATAGAGGCTCGTATATCCTCCTCGTGAGTATACCTCTCAGTTTAAAGGTCAGATATACTAACCCTGTGGACGTACTGTAGCCAGTTTTGGTATGTTCTGTTTTGGTTACAACCGAATTTCGGTTGATCAAAGCAACTGTTTTGCAGTTAAAGCCCCAAATTGGTGCTCGTGAAATCTCAAAGCCTCAGTTTGTTGGCAAAATCCTCAATTTTGGTCGCTTCAAGATACGTTTTCACCCAACTGACCATTTCCTAATTTTAGTAAAGCAATGTCATAAACCACACAGATGGATTCATGGTCTATACCATCCATTTATGGTAAGTCATTGGGGATGGTGGATCCTGTTGCTTTAGTATAGGTGATCCTCCGGTGATCCTCCGGTGGAAAGCCAGGGGTACCCTCTTGCAGGACGCCAAGGCCAAGGCCGTGTCTGACTGCGTGGAGGGCAAGTGCAAGGGCTGCGGCGGCGAGCAATGTCAGCTCTGCCGTGAAGATCCTAAGGTATGGGGATGTCCAAAGTTTCCTGGGTTTGAAGAATGGATAATCGCCACTATAATTTGTGTATTTTATGTAATTATGCCTCTCTCTCTCTCTATGTATATTATTACTATATAACTATTTACTATTTTATCATTACTGTTATTGTTCTTTAAGCTACTAAGTCTACTGCGGGCAATCAATGTGATCCAACATAGAGATACTTGGTTTCGTGGGAGTTAAGCATACTGGGGTTTAAGTACCAACTATACCAACATGCCAATACTGGGGTACAGCGGAACCGTTAGATAAGAACCGATTAATAATTTTCCAGCCTACCCTGGGGTTCTTAAGTGCTATAGGTGGAAAATATGGGAATTATGAACGAGGGTACCCTGGAGTTCTTAATGGGTTATTCTTAAGGGGTTCATATGGTGAGGGTTTTGCCAATTCATTTTGGCGTGGTGTTGGGTTGCAAAGGAGGCGGGGGGAAGAAAAAGCCTTTTAGGTCCAGGCATTCCAAACAGAGCTACAGGCCAGATATTCCACCAATGCCAGGGCTTGAAAAAGTTTATTTTGTGGTATTAGGTTTCAAAGGAGGCGGGGGGAAGAAAAAACTTGTAGGCCCCGAAAGTTTTTCAGGTGCAGGCATTCCAGACAGAGCTATAGGCCAGATATTCCACCATGCCAGGTCTTGAAAGTTTATTTTGGCGTGGTATTAGGATGCGAAGGGAGCAGGGGGAAGAAAAAACTTTTTAGGCCCCGGCAAGTTTTTTGGGGTTTAGGCGCCCGAAACAAGGCAGCACAGGCAAGACAAGCCAACACAAGGCAAAGACAGCCTCCGAGGTCAGATGACTTGCAGTGAGTCTGGCTGCTGTCGACATCAGCCTTGGTGACCATGTAAGGGTTTGAATTTTCCTGGGGCCGCACCATGTTTGTCCTCGGCATGGAAGTTCCGCGGTACATAATCTTTCTTTTGGGAAATAGCTGCTAATAGTCAATGTTTGATATATTGATACCTTTCAAAGGGGAATATGAACCAGCGGCTAGAATTCCAGGGTACCCTAGGGTTCTATTTCAATTAGCTGACAGAAAGGGTTGAATCCAGCAATCCAGCCCCTGAAGTTCTTATTGCAGTAGGTTCTTAAACAGTGGTTGCACTGTAGAACTACATGGCCAACTACGCCACCGTTTTTTGGCCCTTTGACAGGTCCTGGACCAATGCTGCACCGGAGCCATGCGCACGCCGCAGTGCGAGAAGACCCGGGCACTTCCAGTCAGCGAAATTCTTCCATAAGTGAAATGAATTTTGATACGAAGCCACCACCCTTTTAAAATCAAACATGGCGCTGGAAAATCCTGGATCTGCATTTGCAGATTGTTGAGCATTTTCTGCAAGAATCTCGGATGTCCCAGCCAGCCAGGGTTGTTGAAGGGCAAGTTGGTTCTTTTGAGCACCTTCCCATAGCGTTGTTGCCTGACAAGGCTCAGGCAACTGGGAAGCTTAGACAATTTTGGGTTGGAGATGGAGTAACCAATCATCTTCAACAAATTTGCTGCACATGTTACTTCGGCTTGCACTTTGCTCCCGATTAGCTTAGAAGATTCTCGTTTGAGGTTCTGAGTTCAGCTTAATCTTTGTGAGAAAGGTCACCTTTGGGGGTTCCCTGAGGACTAGGCCAAGGGGTACCCACCAGGGAATTTGATTTGTCCATTGGTCCAGAATAGCAAATGGAGGTTTATTCTGATGGGAGTTGATTGGATTTGTTAAATCCATTTTTTTTTGCAAGTTCTACCACGTTATTATATTCTTGAGGGATATTCCACCATGCTAGTTGGTTCATTTTTTTTGGTGGTCATATCTACCCCAGAATCCAGTGTTTCAGAAATTTCTACGCCTAATTCAAATGGCTAAAACCTAGTAGTGAAATGTAGTGAATCTAATGAATAAACCCCAATATCATATTGTTGGTCATAGATCCCAGTATCCCCACAAAAGATCATCATGAACTTCCCACAACATGATCCGTTTAATATACACAGCCAAGGCCATCGCCAAAGCAACGGCCACACTTCTGAGCAAATTCCCGGGGTCAGCGCTGGTGGCTGGGCAGTTTCAGCTGATGCCAGCCCGGGGGCGCTGGGTTTTCATATGAGAGTTAATGGGATATGAAGGAGAATTAACAATCAACAATGGGGATTAATGGGGATTAATGGGGATTAATGGGGATTAATGGGGATTCAATGGTATAATCCGGGTATTATGATGACTTAACCAAGAAAATGGTGGTATAATGGGGATACAGTGGGAAACCATGCTTCCAAACAGCAGGGGTTCCGGTAGATTTTCTCCTCAACCAATTCTGGGACAAGTGTGATGATACGGATGTGTTGCAGTCCAATTGTGGCCCGAGGGCCTTAAATCATGCTAATTTTTTAAAGATCCCCACTGCCAGTCCCAACTTTGGTTGGGAAACCCGTGCTTGTGCTGGTGATATCCCACATCATGCAGGTATGCTTGAAAACTGTCCCACATGTGCTATTTCTTATCAGTCGATCCATACAGACAAGAGGTGAAAAGCGGGTTATAAGTCCTATTAGCCTATTTTGTTGTTGTATAAACACCCATTTTGCATTGCGTCTATTCTATACGATCTTTTGATCATAGCTATGTCGCCACCCTTTCTTTTTCAGTTCTATCTCCCGCATAGTTTGTGCAGCTCGTACTCGTACCCGTCTGGACACGGGTGGTCTACTAAGCTACCCTCTGTTACCAGTGGTTGATGCAGCCAACGGAACTGGGATACAACAAATGATAAAGTTAAGAATGGATGCTGACGCCATTCGTGACACCTTGAAGCACGAAAACACGCCCAAACAAAGGTGGCATTCGAATGGGATGTGCGAATTGGATTTGCATGCCTCGATGTCGCACAGGTAAAGAACCTCAACAGAATCCAGGGAGTGGTGCTTGGCACCGTTGCATCTTGGCCAGGATGTTTCATCCAATATCTGTCGATGATGAGCATCAGCTAAAAGCATTTATCGAGGTCATGGGAGGGAAATCCCAGCCATTTGGCCATTCCTTTCACTGCACCAATGGTATCTGTCGTCCCAAATATAAGGAGTTGAGCTTTTCCAGCCTGACGCAGGGGTGCGGTTGGATCATTTGGGTATGGTCAAAGGTATTGACTCCCCATATCGGATCTATCAAAAATGAGAAGCCATTTGTGTGTCCCCAAGGGGACCCACATTGCGACCACATTCCAAAATTGCATTCAGAAACACAAAAAATGATCAGTCCAGTCCATGTTTTTTTCCCCCAAACAGTGTGGCCACACTGAGGGGTTCTTACGGTAAGAGTTAAGGCCCGGTGTTCAATCGAGGTGGTATCGGAAGCGTCCGGCATTTTCCCTGTAAATTTCTGCACAAAATGCCTCTTGTGACATGTCCATGTGCATGTCGACTGCGCAGGCTCGCACAAAATGCTTGCCGCGGGATACGCGTGCGGCATTTTCCCAGTAAATTTCCGCACAAAATGCCTCTGGTGACATGTCCATGTGCATTTCGACTGTGCAGGCTCGCACAAGGTGTGCTTCCCGGTCTTGGGATCGGTCTTCCTCCTCAACATCCTCCTCCTCAACCTCATCATCTTCCTCCTCCTCCTCCTCAACATTCACATCATCATCTTCTTCTCATCCTCATCCTCATCCTCATCCTCATCCTCATCCTCATCATCATCATCATCATCATCATCATCATCATCGATCATCACCATCCTCATCATCACCACCACCACCATCATCATCATCATCATCATCATCGTCATCGTCATCGTCATCGATCATCACCATCCTCATCATCATCATCATCATGATCATCACCATCCTCATCATCATAATCACCGCCATCAACATCATCGTCATCAACACCTTCATCAAGAGTAACATCATCATCAACATGACAATACATTCTCCTTTTGCCCCCCCACACAGTTTGGGGTCTCTGGCCGGGATAGTTATTTTAGGGCCTAACATCTAGGATCGCCACAGCCATTTTGGTGCTTTTTGGGCGCTGCAAAAGACCGAGTTTGGACAGCTGCTGGACACCATTTTTCACCGTTCCACGGCATGCTCCTACTTCAACGAGGTTTTGTATCCTGGCTCCACTCTTGGAGCAGGGCGTGGCAATTTGGTCGGTTTCAGTGTCCCAAACCACTTAGTCACTAGAGTCACTAAGACCTTTGGTGGTTCCAAATATTGTTTTTTTGCTGGTTAACTATGGTATCTATGGTATCTATGGTTCCAAATATTGTTGGTTCCTCTTCAAAGATGGGATGGCGATTGCTGCGTCAATTATCAATGTGACACCTGAACTTCGCCAGATCCTGGTCAATCCAATCATATTGCTTCATAAGCAAATGCGTGTGTTTTGAAACAACTCATGGAGGTATTTCTTACGGTTTGTTTTTATATAGTTAACAGATGACATCATCCAAAGTTTGGGGTCAGTTTGGGGGGTGAACAAAAGGCCGCGCCTTAAAAAATCACCCAATGCCTAAAATGCCAAACGTCTTTGGTCCATTGATGAGCCAGCCTCCAAGGGGGCAGGATATCTACGATATAAGTAGCCATTCACATTCACGGGGATATCCATTGAACATCATCTCCGGTATCTGAGTCATACGTAAGGATAGCCATCACCGACACATCCAAGGTTGGGCTGTTGCTTTGCCAGCTACATTTTTGCGACGGTCTTCATCCACTTCTATGTCACAGATTTCGCCATCATGGGCATCCAGATGGCCAACTTTGGTGGCACGGTGCCATGGCCGAAAGTTGATGGATCCATGGTTGCCATCATCCAATGTCCACTGGTTGACCCTCTCAGATTTACGCAAATAGAGTTGAGGCCAAACATACTCCTAAGGACTCGTTTTTTTTTTTGCATTTTAGTCTTGCGGATTGAACAAATGGAATGCTGAGAAATGTATTCATGGAAAACCTTTTGAGGCTCAACCTTGAGATTTCAGAGGATTTCAACAGATTTCAACCGATCAAAAAACAAAATCAAGAAAACATAACTATGCAATCAAAATCGAACAAAATCCTCAAACAGATTGACTGACTCTATTGTGGCCAGGAACATGGGAAAAAACCATCAAACACAAATGATTTTTGGGTGCAGAAGATCACCAAAATTCGGGGTGAAGGGGATAGGAACTTCCCAGTGGCAGAATGGTCTACAGTGAAACCTCATCCAATCAACCAACAGGGATGATAACATGTGATACTAGCGGCTTTATCCAACCTCACATGAAAATAACCGGTTCTAAACCAACTAAAGGTTCAACAGTAAAGTGCTTGATGTTGAGCTATCCTCTGGCAAGCAAGCATGGCATGTTGGAAGAGCTACCAGATATGTAGATGAGATACCCGATGAACATGGGGATTTCCCACCAGCTATGTTTGTCTACCGGAGTACAACTATCAAACTTGGAATATGGGATAGTTTATGCACATATAATATATATACATATAATATTATAATATGTATGTATATACACATCATATGGGACAACCCTGAAGAAATATCAGAAAATTGAATAAATCATGATAAATCATGATAAATCATGATAAATCATGATAAATCATGATATTTTTTTTCCAAATAGGGTCGTTAACTTAATGATCCCCAACCCCAAATAGCAATTTCCCATGGGAAATATATCAAGCGGGATATGTCCTTGTCACTGGCCAGGAAATGATGACAGGTGGCTGTGGCGAGAAGGAAGATACTGGCAAGGCGCCAAGAATGGCGAGCCAATTTTGGAGGTTGAATACATATCCCAACTATGGTGATATTGCGGGGTTAAGTCAAAGTAGACAAAACACATACACATAATATATATATATATATAAATTATATATGTATGTATATATATATATATATATGTAAGTGGGCATGTATCCCATAGTGACACGACACACTAAATCGGCTAGATCAAAACAATCCTACTGTCTTCAGCCGTGGGTCTTGTTCGACTTTTCCGGATTTTTCAGAGGCATTCTTTCAAAAATTGCCAAAGGCGGAATAAGCTGGCATGTTCTTCTAGCCCTTTATGGTTTGCGTATGCAGGTGTGACCCATCTACTGATTGCATCACAAAATCGTCCCGTTTCATAGGCTTACTCTGCTGGTGACCACTGGCAATTGGATGTGTTTTCTGAAAATTGGCACATGACCCAGAAATCATGGTTGGAGGCCTTTAACTGCCGCATATTGCCATTATCGGAGGCCTTTGTAACTACCACTACTTGAGGCCCACTGGGTTGGTAACTTCATCCATCCCTGATCCCAGTGGCATCTCCAATACCGGGATCACCACAGTCGGACGCTACTCATCTGCAAACGACAATAGTCCATGAACGAATCATCGAAATCCAGGATGCATTGCGACTGATTTTTTCTGATGGTCTGTCAAACTGGGAGATATACCCCGAAATGGACACAACAACATGGACAAGTGTGAGCCCACATGCCATGATTTACCCTGAAATATTTTTGAGGCCTACAGCAAGATCCCTGAAATATTTTTGAGGCCTACAGCAAGATCACCACCAATCTATTGGCCATCATCTTCATAGTCCTGGTGGATCTGGTCTTTGCCTCCGAGCGCGCCTCCGAGACTTGGCTTTGAGGGTAGCTGCTGTCAGAAATGAGTTGTGGTGCGAAATGAACAGGGAATCCCATGGATTTAGGATAGAAATATGCTAAAAAAGTATCCTTGTAAATTTAAGGGAGCATCTATGGACAACAAATTTCCAAGTTATACCATGATTATCCTTGATTACTTTCCAGACGTGTTGCATGGATGTCCTGCTCGATCCGCAAAGGTGACCCGGATGGGTTGAATCATTAGGAAAAGCTCCGCGGAATATTTTGGAATATTTACAGTACCTACATTTGGAAGTCTTTTTTGTCTCATGCTGGCAAAATCTGTGACAAGATTTTCCATACATGGAGCATATGGGTAACTTTTTGGAGTCTTTTTATTTTTTTGGACATGGCCAAATATCCAAGAGTAGAATCATCTTCCACAGATCAGTTATTTTTCAGGATATTCGTGTTGGATTTCTGGCAATTGTGATTCTTGCGATGTTCCCCTCCTGCCAACAGCGAAGCGTTCCCTGCAGATGGGCTGCCCAATTCCCCCAATAGAGTCACTCAACAACGTCAAACGTCTTAATTTAAAGGCTTACGCCTGACAGCCGGGCACCCGCCAAGCAACGACTTTTGGCCCATGTCGTGGGAAGATCCGGACGAGAATCTCCGCGCAAGGCCTAGGTTGAGCTGAGGCAGGCTCAATGCGCAGTGTTTGCCTCGCAGTCTGGGCCTATGTTGAGCTCAGGTTGTGCCCACGTTGGGGCCAAGTCAAGCCCATGTTGAGCCATGTTGGTCGCATCTTGGGCCCATCTTGGGCCAAGATGGCCCCATGTTGAGCCATCTTGGGCCGATCTTGGGCCGATCTTGGGCCCATGTTGGGCCCATGTTGGGCCTATGTTTGGAGGGTATGTTGGGCCTATGTTGGGGATATGTTGGGGCTGCTCAAAGTGGCGCTCAAGGGGTGCAACGGGACAATGGGTGCGGCTAGTTGGTACATGGGTGCAATTTACAGGGTACATGGGTGCAATCAGCTGGTACAGCGGTGCAACTAGCGGATACATTCCTACATACTGGCAAAGCCCTATGCATACTTTTGCAGACCGTTTTCCCTACCTATCACAGCTTTGCCGCAAGAACCATTGCCTCAAACCTAACAGCAGAAAATTTAACGGTACATTTTGGACTTCGCTTTTTCTAGGCGACAGAAACAATCAGCGTCAAACAAACAAAGATATTTTCAAAATGCATCCAGCCGGGCAAATTCTTGTTGGTTCTGGTTTGGGCCATGTTCAAACTGTTTTTCTTCATGATTCTACACTTGTTGTTTTATTCACTGCTCATTTGTTCATTTATTTGTATTTTCATTTTCATTTTAAATTGAACAACCGAATGTGTTTCGGACCACCATGTTTCCCTTTATACTTATTCTTTTTTGTTTGGTTTCAACGCGTGATTTGCAGGAAAAAACATCGAATACATTGAACTTCAAGGCTAATTGTGGTCCATGGTTGGAATGGCAGCCTTCTTGTGTGCCATGCATGGATATTCATGGTTTCCTTTGCTTGCCCAATCTTCTTTGAAATAGGACGTGCGCTCTGGGCCTTGATTTCAAACATAGGACTGAACAAATTGAGTCCCAATCCGATTGGGCAAGTTCCAGCTAGGCTTGGGCCAAACTCAAAAGAAACAAAAAACTACAGCAGCTACAGCCGTACAGCATACAGCTATGCAAAAATTCAAGCTCACCTCATGTACACAAGGGTGGACTTGCAAAACACCAAAATAACAAACAAAATGACAAACAGTTACAAACAAAACACAGAAAATGAACAAACAAACACAAAACAACAAAATCCAACATTCAAAAACACCTTAAACTATGAACGCATATTTTTGTCAATCTTTTTTTGATGCCCCACATTTGGTTGAATCTCCTGGTGTTTTTAAAATTATTTATTGTATTTTTTTCGGGTCAAATTCACTTTTGTCGATGATTTGCATGTCTTTTCCCTGTTCCGGGTTTGGGTTTAGCCGGCATGGCCATATATTTGTTTGCTAAAATTTGAGAACGTATCAGCCACAGACTTGGGCGAGTCATGTTTATCGTTTTGTTTCATTTTGATTGTGATGTGGTTTTCTCACCTTTTGTTATCATCTTTAGCACCATTTTAGAGCCATTTTCATTTGTTTCATGTCAAACTTGCGGATGGTCAGCCAGCGTCTTAGTGTGAACACTTCTGCAGGTTCTTGTAACCAAGGGCTCAGCGGTGCATAATCCAAAGACCAAGGAGAATAAAGAGAGAGAAAGTGGACACATGAATTCCACAGGAGAAATATGGAAACAAACTGAATCCCAAAGGGGGAAACACAAAAAAACCGGAATCCCACATTAAACAAGCAGGAAAAAAGGACAAGAGAGGAACACCATGACCCAAAATAAAGGACGGAAACAAAAAAGCAAAACATACCTTGGAAAAGTTTTTTTTCCAGGATTTCCATGGAAAACAAGTCGGGCACCATGAACTTAGGTATTTCCCGCCGGGGACCAAGACTTAGGACCTAGGACTCACGACCCAGGATGTGGACATCTAAGAATCCAATCCAAATTTGATTTAGAATGTTGAAAACCATTTTTCATGTTTGGTGAGCTGTGACAGCGCACGAATTTCACTGGATTTTTTCATCCTCCGCACCCCTTTGCAAACACCTGCAATCAAAAGCAAGGAACGCCCCAAAGCCCCAACCAAGAGACAAGAAACGCCCAACAGGAAAAAATGATGATTGTGATGATAATATATGGCATGAAAGATGACAAAAGATTGAAAATCAAATGTAAAATATTATGAAGGCAGGCCCAAGTGGGAATAACATGAGCACAAACAGATTGCAATTTCCAGAATTTGGCTGGGAAAAAGCATATGTTTGAAGTCCCGGGGGTCCAAGAATGAAACTCACAGCTACAATGCACCCGTGTGTAGTTTGATTGTCCTTCCAGAGGAAAAATGGTACTGCGGACTCTTGCGCTTGCTGGCAGCTGGCGCCCAGATTTCCAAACAAACATTTTTCAGAATTCAATATTTCTCAGCAACCACTTGTCAAAATAAAATGAACATAATGAACATATCATGATGAAAAATGCCAGAAACGTGTTCAGCGAGAAGACGTTACACACTGAAAACCACACAAAAATCGTTTGGCAACTTCCCCATACCCAGGCTGCAACAAACCTTGCAAAAGCAAAACCTGCAACACTAGTCAAACACTGTTGCGCCGATCTAGAACATCGTACCATTGCAACCCCCTACATTGTACCATTGCACCCCAAATACTTGCACCATTGTGCCCCCTACGTCGTGCCATTGTACCGTTTACATTGTGCCACTGCACCCCCTGCATCGTACCATTGTACTCCCTATATCGTACCATTGGACTCCCAACACCGTACCATTGTACCCTCTACATTGTACCATTGTACCCTCTACTTCGTACCATTGTACCCCCTATATCGTACCATTGTACCCCGTACATCGTACCATCGCACCCCATTTATCGTACCATTGCACCTCCTTTATCGTACCATTGCGCCCCCTACATGGTACCATTGCACCCGCTACATCATACCATTGCACCCCTACATCGTACCATTGTACCCCTCATACTGCACCTCTTGTACCTGGTGTACCTGCATCACCGTACCACTGCGCTGTCTTCACTGCACCATCGCACCTGCACTTCGCACCCCCGTACCTGCGCTTCGTACCCCTTGAAAACCATCATCGTACCTACCTCCAGACTACCTCTCAGAGCAGTGCTTTTGAAATTTGATAACTCTAAAACGTCTTTTTTTTTGGAACGCTTGCGAAATAACAAAAATCCTTTATATAGATGATTTCATCCTCTAAAGCAAAACTTTTTTCAGTTCATTCTTCCACCTACGTATGATATGTTTTTGGGACGCTTCCGAAACAGCAAAGCACCACCTAATTTCGTGCCCGTCGTTGTTGTTGTTGTTGTTGTTGTTGGGGAAGGAAATTCTTATTCCCTAGCGTGCTCCCCCTTGCTTCGTCCGGGGTCGGCGGATTTAATTTGTAGCTGGGCATCAGGGTCTGCAACGCTGACTCCTGCTTTGCGACTCAACTTCTTCAAAACAATCCAGAGGCTTCTAAAGTTCACCCTAGGGTCAAAATCTGTGACATTCTGACACCCAACCCAACCATTTAAGCTATGTTCATTATCATTGTATTTATGTATTTTTCATTTTCTTAGATATGCCTATTTGTGATGCAAGTCTATTGCATCCCCAGTTTTTTTAATCCCACACAATGGTGATTAAGTACCACTGGACCTACCAAAATCGCCAATTCACATAATACACCCAATCATAAGCCATCTCAGCAACACATTTGGGGGCCATTTCACATCATCCCAACAATGGGGGCATGCTGGTCCCAGTTTCATAAACCCCAACCGGGGCACTATTATGAGCATGATCATCATGATCCCAATTGATAATTGAACACTTTTTTTTCCTACTTTGGAACGCTCAGGACATGGCCGCGGCGAGACTCGGACGTGTCAGAGTAAGGCGAAGAACATGTGCGTTCTTTTGTTGGGGTATATACGTAATCAAATTTGCAACTTTAGTGGGTGAACTATCCATTTTCTTCTTTGAATAGATAGTTACTCGTATTTTTGTTGTTAATATAGCAATTTTGGGCGATTAAATCAGCGGTCCCCAGATGTTGCCTCATGTTCTGTTGCTAAACATCAATCGAACTGTTGGTTAGTTAATGGTGGTTGGGGCCACCTCCAAAAAAGTGACATTTTTGGAGGAATTGCGAACTGCAGGGAAGCAAGTGCCCAGTTGACCCTTTCTAGATGACTCTAGATGGGCCTCAGGTTTTTCTCTCTGTATGGGATTATCAGACTCCATTCAGCCAAGCAGTAGTTCAACCAGAACTCTACCGACTTTCCAGGCTTGGCCATGTGACCTTTGCCAATGGCCCGCCTTCCCGCTGAGGAAAAGCCAAGATCTTTGGGTCACCATTAAACTCGGTGCAATGGATGTCTTGGACCCCGACAAGAAGGCACCATGGATGATCCCACGCTGTGTGATCAATTCTCCGTGATTAGAGGTGAACGTAGTTATGATAGTAATGATAGTTATGGTAAGTGAAGTTTCAGGTACGCTTTGGAATGAATCACTAGTCAAAAATAAGGCGTTGTTGACCACGAAAAGCTGGGATCCCACCCATCCTTGCATTCCAGGTCTGTGCCAGGTGACACTTTCGAACAAATGGATACTTAATGGGGAATTTCCATTTGCCAGGTCCTGTTCTAACACGTATGCAGATTTTCACCCCCAAGTTCATGGTTGTAGCCCACAATTTCCCAGTGAACTTGGGGAGTGAAACGACACCGAGTTACTCAATGTTGCCAACCCTGGTTGTACCATCATTTATTGGCTTGTTATGTCAGGTATGTCCTCCACTTCTGGCAAATCTTCCTCCAAGTTCGCCACCAACCCTTCCAAGCCACTCCCAGCATTCTGCAGGTGACGCTGAGTTCCGTGACGTTGGAAACGGAGCTCTCCCGTGTGGAGAGTCTGGGCCGCGAGGCCAGTCACGAGCCGCGCTACCATCGCATCGTGCCCGGGCCGAAAGCACAGGCTGTTTGGAAGGTTGGGAGCTTGGGATGAAGAAAATGTCCAAATCACCATCTGAAGGGAACAGGAAATTGCATGTGTTCAAGAACCCATTTGATATTTTGATTCAAACCAGTACTGTATGGAAGTCTCAAACAAAGGGGGGATTTGAGCTGCCACAATGAGGAATATCAACAGAGATGAAATGCATTTATTTGCACAGCAGCATGAGGAATTGAAGCAACGAGTTTTCAACGACCCGACAGACAGATCTGTGCATTGTGATAATTTGTAAAATTGGGCTTGCAAGTCAGAATTGCGTGTGTGTATATTTCACGATGAACATACTTTTGCTTTCAACTTTATACATTTTCTTCGACTCTTGGATCATTCCTTCAAAAGCCCAACGTTTTCGTCATTTTCAAACCCAAAATGGGGGGAGTACCACTCGACGCACACTGTTTTGTATGATTCTTGATGTTTTGCATTCCCACACAGTTCTTTTGGTGTCTGATCCAAAAAATGGAACTTTGAGCCACAGCGAAGTAGGCTGAAAAATCCCAACTCAAGGGGATCATGGTAGTCTCGAGGCATGGCGGGAGCAAATGTTTGACGCCACATTGAAGGCTGGGAGGGACCGCAATGCCATGGAGGGATCAAAACTTTGGGTAATCCCACCTCCCTAGTGGTGTTAGATATCCGGCTATGGAACCCCTAGTTTAGTAGTGGATCTAGTCGTTCTAGGGGCTATCTTGGCCCTTTTGCTCCTGATTTTTGATACTAGGGTGATGGAAATGCCAAGAGATTATCTATACAAGGATGATGTAGATTCCTGCTGCATAGTCACATAGTCGCGGTAAGAAAGAATCAGTCAATGGGTATGGGCCAAAACCGAGTACCTCTCAAATGGATTGTTTGACACTGGAAATGGCAAGGAAGTCCTAAATTTTGACCCACACCCATGTCAATTCATATTCACGGTCATGTGCAAATTGCTGTTATGTTATGAACACAAACAAAAGGTTGACACTACGATCAAATCTATCATGGGGAATCATGGTTGGCGATCGTGACATCATCAGTTTCTGGTTATTTGGGTCAGGTTGGTTTGAATTCCTCTGTTTTTGCAGGCTGCGATTCGGTGAGTTTGATGTTTTAGTGGGACCAGAAGTAAAAACACATAATTTTTCTGGGAGACTGGCAGGTGCAACCTCAGCTGAAAGTGCAGGGGGGGTTTAACTTGAGACCCACACTTAATGTGTTGGTTTCCCAACAAGTGTGTCTTTCGCAGGCTCCCAAAAAAGTGGAAAGGCAAAACTGATCAGCACCTCAAAAAGCAAACAGTTGGAAATGACGTCACTACGTACCTTTCCATAGGGGTTCTTTTGTTCACAGGACCCAAGTCATTTTGGACCCGCTAAAGCGGAGGGTCTTTGCTGAACGTGACCAGTCCATTTTTAGTTTGGGGTCCAGCGAAATTTGACCCCACATCTATGTGGTTTAGACATTTAAAATCTCACATCCCCAATTTTGGTCGATCGAATCCGTACTGTAACTTTGGTTGGCTGGTTGGTAGAAGAACAAACTTGCTTGGTTCAACCCTAATTTTGCTTGGCTAGACCGTTCTTTTTGCTGATTATACCGCCCATTTCTTATCCCAAAGCTTGTCTGGCTGTATAGGCCTAATTTCTGATGGTTAAATCTCAATGTGAGTTGGTCGAATCAGACATCATCAGTTCCCCTATGTTCTACAGATGACTCTCATCAGCTCCAAATTTTGTTTGGAAAAACTCACCATTTTAACGGCAAACGCAGACACACACAGTCCGTTTGTCCCAGGAAATGCAGGAGGTGCGCTACGCCCTGTCCACCCTGGAGCGTATTCTGGCAGAGAATGGGCAGGACGGTGCCAAGAAGGCCGCTGGGGGCGGTTGGGGCCTGGGGATCTGAGCAACCTTTGTGACGATCAGGCTGCTGAGAGTCGCAAAACACATACGCCTCCAGGCTATCTTTTCTTTTTATTGATTTTATTTGATTTTCCCTGTGGCTCATGACCGTTACAGTGGTAATCAGCCGGGCACAGCAGCCGTGGATTCACACTGTTTCTTTTGTTGCAAGTTTTACCCGAGCTGGCCATTGTGCTAGTTTTGTCTATTTTGGAGACGAGTTGTGGTCATGTATTGCTTGAAACACATGCCACATGCCTAATGAAATCGTGATGGTATGATATTCAAACCGATAAAAACAGCCGTGTGACTTGTGACCTAGGGGTTGGGAGCACGTATGCCAGGTGCCCTACTTCCGCAGCACAGTTCTTCAGACCAGCGCTGTCCAGCAGTGCCTCGACCCAGATGTTTTTTTGGCAGCAATGTGAATAATCATAAGCTGGGTCAATTGACATTAATGTGAACCATGGGGGATGTAACAATGTAATCAAACCAATTTGTATGGGGGCTTAAACAATTTTTGGTGAACAAAAGTCCTTCCACATTGACATGCTTTAAATTAATGGTTGATTTGTTCGCTTTGGGGTCACACACACACACACTCACAAAAGGCATCTCAACGGGACGACTTGAGATGCTTATCGCACCGGACGAGTGAACTGGTGGTCCCAAGTAATTAAGCCGGTAAACCCAACAATAAAACATGCCTGATAGAGGTTTATTGTTAGGTATACCCCCAGCTCTGGGATGATGGACATGATTCACATTGATTCACAATGAGCCCCAGTCATGGTTGGTTAATGGGACGGTTTATGGCATTTGGTATTTGGTCTACTATTAGCCAGAAGTGGAGAGGATGAACGCCATAGTTCCGCTCTAGGAAAAAAGTACAGGATCTCTTCGGGGCAAAAGGCGGTGTCAAGGAGGTTTTTTCTTTCTTTTTTTCCGGCAGACTGGTTGACTCGCATTAGGGATAATCTGGCTGTGGTATCCTATGGCATCCCCATGGCAAGACCAACCCCTCCGAGTAAACTTTGGATGGGTAGTTGCTGACGCCGTGGCATGGGGACTGGGTTTCAGGTTATTTTGACATTTTGACACGTGAATGTCTCGTTGGAGTGGGGTGGGGGAGAAGTGACAGTCTCTTGATAATGCGCACACTATACTGATGCTGCATTTCTCATGTTTCCGTTATATGCATGACATGATGCTACGGTGGTGGTGGTGGTGGTGGTGGTGGTGGGCTGGGGAGGGGGGCAGTCACGTCACGTTTTGTCAAAGCTCCGCTACTTGTAAGTTGACTTGCACTTCCATACACTGGTGCTCCGCTGCTTACAAGTTGACTTGCACTTCCACACACTGATGCTCGGCTACTTTAAATTTGACTTGCACTTCCACACACTGATGCTCGGCTACTTGTAAGTAGACTTGACCTTCCACACTGATGCTGCGCTACTTGCAAGTTGACTTGACCTTCCACACTGATGCTGCGCTACTTGCAAGTTGACTTGACCTTCCACACTGATGCTGCGCTACTTGCAAGTTGACTTGACCTTCCACACTGATGCTGCGCTACTTGCAAGTTGACTTGACCTTCCACACTGATGCTGCGCTACTTGCAAGTTGACTTGACCTTCCACACTGATGCTGCGCTACTTGCAAGTTGACTTGACCTTCCACACTGATGCTGCGCTACTTGCAAGTTGACTTGACCTTCCACACTGATGCTGCGCTACTTGCAAGTTGACTTGACCTTCCACACTGATGCTGCGCTACTTGCAAGTTGACTTGACCTTCCACACTGATGCTGCGCTACTTGTAAGTTGACTTACACTTCCATCACTGATGCTCCGCTACTTGTTTTGTACAGTGCTAGGCAAGATTTGCAAATGGCCGGCATGAAGAAACAGAATGAATTTGCCGCCCGCAGTCCCCACGTCACGGCGTAACCTGGATAGTTTTGGACCCCTGGAGTTTATGTAACAGCAATTTTGACCGAATGGATTCCTCTCCTTACATTGGCATCACTCTGCAGATCACTGGAGTCTCAGGTGGGCTGCGGTCCTCCGCGAAAAGTTCGATCTGATCTCTTCTCTGCTGGAGGTGCTACAGTCCAAGCTGCGACTGGCAGGGGTAAGGGATGTTGACCGATAGAACAGGTCGTATTTCTTTACTATGCATATGCATAGATGTAGAACTTAGATGAACTTAGTATCTTTTGTAAGTAAATCATTTACAAATCTTGAAGTGCACATTACCAGGCTTGCAGTCTTTGGCAACCTCATGGTGGACCAAGGCCCATGAATCGTAGTTGGTATTGGGCAAACCGCACAGAGCACGTTCCTTTCAAATCCACTTAGGATTTATCGCAGACATTTTCAAAAAACAGGCCATCTTTACCTATTATTAGAATTATTAGATACATATGGAAGATGGTCAGCGAATGCATAGCTACTACATGGACAAATCTTAGCTGCAGGTGGACTTACTTTACAACCCGAGTCGACAAATTATGCTTACGATCCTCGCTTATGAGGCCTTATGACACATTTGCCTGCACTGCATTGCAAACGCCACTTGTACACTCCGCACCGTTTTGTTTTTCCCTTGGTTTCCCGTTTCAAATCCACATGTCGCAAAGTCAGAAGCCCGGCAAATGAAGTCGTGTTGCAAAGATCGACCTTCCCTCAGCTCCGCCCAAAGCCAGGTCTTTTCACATGAGACCAACCAAAGATGGCCCATGCTGGATGACGAGGCAACTGGAGGATATGCAGTGAACCCAAGGCCAAAATCCTTCGAATGGGGATGGCTTGTTCCACCCAGTTCTGCTTTCAACTTGCGGATGGTCTATCGTTGGGTTTACAACATGACTCAGCATCCAAAACCTTGGGACGCCAGTGAAAACCCTGTTGAAATATTCCGGTGAGAGGGGGAAGATCAATTTTGGACCTCAGCCTGTCTTATCATTTGTCAACAACCCCAACTGCTGCTTGGTTGGTTGGTTTTCCATCTCAAGGACTGTTCGTTCTGTGTCAATGGCCACTTTCTATGTAGACGGGTTCCCGGCAAATCGATAGGTGAACATGAGCAGTTTCCTGGCCATTTGATGATATGTTTCATCTTCTGCTAGCGCATGGAATTTAAGGTTCGACATGCATAAAACATCAAAAGCAATCAGTGTTTTGATGGTAGCAAAGAGAATGTCGGGGACCTCTTGCACATCACACCTACTAGCACAAGTAGGCCACTGCTCCCGACACCCTAAACTGCTTTTCTCCACATTATCTTGCGGTGCCTTTCGTTGCCGCCAACTTTCACAAAATCGGCAAATTTCAAGAAATTTCCAAAACTGCAGACGACACTATACTCTTTTAAGGAGGTTTTTATCACCATCGGCTGGCCAAACATGTCTACTACTGTTGGGTGTTGATGTAATGTGGCTACTACTGTTGGGTGTTGATGTTTAGCCTTCCTAAGAGGCACAATCACCATTCTTTTATTGGCCAACATCCTCATTTTTCTGAGTTCAATTCTAGTTTTTGTGGGTTGAATCCCAAATTTTGGTGTTGTTTCCTCAAAAAGTGAGTACCCTTTTAAAAAAATGCCATGGTTTTTGGTCCACCTTCCCTGTCGCGTTTCTTTCGCTCCCCGGCGACCTCTGCCAGAAAGTCACCAAGCAGTTCCGTGTCGAGAGCGAAAAGGCCAAATCCCAGTTGCTGCAGGACTGGTGTGCGCTGGCTTGGTGAAGTGGGCTTTGTTTATGCGACCAGTTTGGTGACACGTTTTTGCATGTTAAAGAAAACAGGGGGATGTTACCAAGTTACCCACCAGAACAGGTATTTTATGTCAGTAGCAAAAACATGGGAATTATTTTAATTTATTTTACCAATTTGCTAATCAACCTGGGTATGTTTTACAAGCGAAACTAAATGGAATTTGACATGGAATTTGCGGGATTCAGCAACCATAGTTTGGGTTGCATAAGTCAGGGCTGAAGAAGTCGTGACTTTCGTCGTTGTGAATCTGGGACAGAACATCAGCCCGTGAATGATGATTGATTGGTTGATCTTGTGGCAATCATCAATTTGATAGCCTTAAATCAGGCTTGAGATATTCATCAAATTACTCCATCAGGCTTGAGAAAAGGAGAATCGACTGGCATTTCTGCGTGTTTGGCTGGGATGGCCAGGTCGAAGAGGGATGTGGGCCGGGCTGTAAACATGCTATGCGAGTTGGGAGAAGTACATCCACTCCAGCAACTAGAAAGCAGTAAAAACCATGAGGTGCAGCAAGGTCAGATAAGGTCAGTCTGCCAGCATTGTAGGAGCCTCACAAACATGTTGTGGGTATCGCAGTCAGCATTGCGTGGCAATTCAAAACAGCACCCATCAGATAGAAAATATGTTTGTTTCATCTGAGTTGTACGATGTTACGGGTATATAACCACCAAAAAACCGATCCTTCTGCAAGGATGACCCACATTCTCATGGAACCAACTTCCATGATTGATTTTGCCAACTTGTTAGTGCTTTGCTTTCCCCATGTTTGGTGTGTCCACATTTTCCGGTGTCTTTCCAGGAGATTGTCCGGCTGGAGCTCTACAAGCAGGCCACAACTTGGCGGATCATTCCATTTGGTTGATGGTGAAGCAACATAGATGGGGATTTGACCATCAAAACATGGTTTTTCCCATTAAAACATAGAACAAGTGCTGATTTAACATCATACGTTGTGATATTAAACCCCTTACATCCGGGATTTGCCCCTTTTTTTGGGGATGGTCACCGATGGTCACAGGGAAAGTCATTGTGGCATGTTGGCTGAAGCCAAATGGTGATCTTCAAATGTTTGTGGCCATGATTACCAGCCAGGTATAATCAATATACATCAATATACTATGAATTATACTCTGATAAACATATTGATGTATATTGTTTATACATAGTCTAGTATATTGATGTACATCAATATGTATATACACATAAGTCATAAGTAGGATGATGATCCCGGCTAGAAGGTGCGCCAGGGGCACGGGATAGCTCAAAGTCATCATCAGTGCATGATGTGAATCACTATTCTTCACATATTAGGTTTCAAATCGGTTGATCTATTGATTATATCACACATGATTAAAATACATATGTATGACATTTATAATTTATGTACTTATATTATGTATATATGTACACGCTCACATATATATATATATACTATGTATAAGTATAATTGAATACAAAAAATAGATAATCTATATATATATATATATTTATTACCATACAATTATACATGCATGTGCGTGTACATACATATGCATATACATACACATCTACATCTACATATATACATATATATCAATCCGCATACATGAAGCAGCCACCAGAACCAATCCACACGGCCGGTTGTGGGGTGACCCCACATAGATCACAGGAAGCGGAGAAGGATGGGATTTAGCCATCACGAGGAATAACATGGGGATACGATGGATTTTTACACCTAGATGGACCTAGATATCCCCATAGAACATCATGAACACCATATGGATGAGTTATTGTTTGACAATATCCCCTATCGTTGACATAGCCAGAAACAACTAATGTAAGAATCTTTGGAGGATGTGGTTTGAGTGGCATCCTTTTTAAGTCATACACAACTGCTGTTTAGTAGCAATATACTTGCGCGCATTATAACAACCTCGCCACGATCCCTCTACAAATGATGGTTACTTGAATTCAGAAAATTTTCTACCAACTTGCGAACAGCTGAGGTTTGTGAATGACCTTCATTTGCCCATTGATATCCATTTATATTTCCCCTTCAAAAGAATTAGGGACACTTCCCATGAAAACCTCCAAGAATCTCCACGGGCTTGGAATTCTGTGCAGGGACCGCTGGAGCCGATGAACAACACCAGTTTCAGGGTGCCGCAGGGTTCATGGGGCGAAGTGGTGAAACATGAAAAAGGCACAGGAAAATCCAGGTGGAACACCATTTTTTTTTGTCTTGGATAGTCTTAGTCATCTCGTTTTTTAGGGATACTGTACCCAATTCTCAAGCATTCAAATTTCTGGCGAAATCCGGGCGAACATGGAGGTTTTAACAAGCAAAACATGAGGGTATAGCCTACCTGAGTGAATCGTATTGGACCCCGGGGACCACTGTTTCTATTTTGGGTAGACCTGCAGGGTATCTGAGGTTGGCCATCGTATTTCTGGTTCATTTTTCCAATACTGCGGTTTTGGTGACGCCCCTATCAAATAGCCAACGCTTCCATCTTGGCAGGGTATCTGCAGTGAGCCGAGGTCCATTTGTTTGCATCTTAAGTCAACGGGTGGCATTTGTCTAGGTTTGCAACTGGGGAAAGTTGATTGAAGTCTCGGCCTCGTCTATCATTCCGCCTTCATTATTATTTCTAACTAAGAACTGGATCTCAAAAAAGGGTTTAGAACCCAGCAGCATACGATTCGGGCCAAAATGATTGACCCAAAAATGGATGGTTCAATTGCTAAACATGGATGAAATCCAATTACAGTATATACCCACGTCATTTTCATTACATCCCAATAGATCAATACAGTGTCCCATTACATCCCATTATATCCTCATGAAATGCCCGTACAAAATCCCTCTAGAATCAGCGTTTTTCCAAGCCTAATAGGGGTTTGGCTGGTTGAAAACAACCCATCATGTAGCAATGGCATTCCTATTCCCCACCCCATTGAATCGTTAGAAAATCCCAGTAGTATCATTGGGACTTAGATCCATCATATCCCATTAATGAAGTCCCATTATAATCGAGGATTCAATCCCATTCCCATGGTATAGATCTATATAAATCTTCATTCCCATCCCCATTCCCATTGGAAAAGATTGGCCATTGGAAAAGGATGATCCCCTCTGCATGCTGTCCATCTTCCTGGCCTGTTCGGATGCCATGCTGGTGCTTGGATGCCCAGGTTCGTGGAGCAGAAATGGTGGTGGACCAGCATGAAATTGGGGGTTTATAGGTTAGATCGATTGGATTAGATTTAGATTAGATTAGTTTGGATTAGACTAGATTGGAGATAGATAGGAGAAAAAGAAAGAAAGGAAGGAAGGAAGGAAGGAAGAAAGAAAAGAAAGAAAGAAAGAAAGAAAGAAAGAAAAGAAAGAAAGAAAGAAAAGAAAGAAAGAAAAAAAGGAAGGAAGGAAGGAAGGAAGGAAGAAAGAAAGAACGAAAACTAGATTAGTAGATAGGTAGATAGATACTCATAGGTAGAAAGGTAGATAGGTAGATAGATAGATAGATAGATAGGTAGGTAGGTAGGTAGGTAGAGATAGAGAGAGAGAGGAATAGAAAGATAGAGAGATAGAGAGATAGATGGTATCAACAAAACACTAATACGTGTGTATACGCATTTATATAAACAAATATGTATAAATATATATATATATATAGCACACTACATATACAACCATACTTATGTATATATATATGAATCAATTGGGGGAGTATTATATAGGAGTTACAAAAAAACAAATGTGGTGATTTTACAACCCATACAACCAACACATTTTGGGGTTTTGACCACCATAAAGTTGGGATAGAACCACTAAAGAATATTTGACATATTTTATTGCGTTGTCCGCCCGCGCGACTTTTGGGACGATAATTCCAAGCGATTAATGATTAAGAGTAAAATTCGGAGTCCGAAACTATCCAGTCGAATCAGCGTCGCAGAATCAGCGTCAAAGACGATCCTAGATCAACATCGTGGATAAATGGTCGGGATGGTCAGCATGGTCGGGATGGTCGGGATGGGGGTTTCTTTGGGGATGGGATGGTCGGAACGGCCCGGGTAGTCCGCAAGGTTGCCATCTATACTGTCCCGATCCAACCCATGTAGATTCCGATCCAGCACCCAGCGATTGATATCTCTATTTTTGTTGGAACCACCAACTAGTTAGTGGTTGGGTTTTTTCTCTCAAAGGACCCCCCAAAATAAGACAAGATGTTCGTGATATGTTGTCATCGTTTTTTAGAGTTGAAACTTCTAGCTAAATACACCATTTTTTGGGCATCCTGGATTTTGAGACACCTTCCGCTTGGAACTGTTGAACATGTTGAACGACGGAGGAACAACTACTGCTCAGCCATCTTTGATCAAGAAACACATCACACATGTTCATACCAAACTAACAACTGACTTAACTTTTCTGTATATGGGTTTGCCTGAGAATCAGGTAACCCCGTGCAACGTCTGAGGTCAATGCGTCAGATTCAACATAACATCCTGAGGCTCTATTGAGGCCGCCCGCAACTTTACTTTTTCCTTTCCATCATCCAATTTGGGTCCACTTATCATGGCCAAAGGAAGTTTTTTTTTTTTTTTAAATTGACATTTTGGATGAAACAGACAAGAATGGCTAAGATCTGTGTGGCTGGTGCGGGAAGTTTTGTACCAAAATTGGGACCATTTTGAAATGGTTGTGGCTCAATCTTTCCGACACCTCACAGCAGATTTTCCATTTATTTATACGCACGCTGAATATGACTATCCATTTGTATCCATCCGTGGTACCTCAGGCTTGAGCAACAACTGCAATCCCTGCATAGTTGAATTGTGGGGAGTGGAAAGTTCGTCGCCGCTGTACGCAGCGGCCAAATCGGCAAAGACCGGCCACTCCCCAACTGAGTACATAGCCGGATTTCGGTGACGTTTGAAGGGGCCTAGTGATTTGACTGGGGTGTTTAGTATAGGGCCCTTGCAAGAAAACTTGTAGCTACCCTGTGGCCAATTGCCAGTTGTTGTTTATTACAATGATGGGCCTTTGCCAGATATACACGGAACTAAAACTATCATTATCTATAACTACCTATAACTACCAACCTGTTTGGTAATCAGAGGTTCATGGAACTTCTATAAGTACTAGGATCCCATCATTGTAGGGTCGGGTTCACGGGCAGTTGGCCGCTGGGAAGGGCGATGAAGGTGACCCCACAGTAAACGCAAGCGCCAGTGGGGCAAAGTTACCCTCTGGCCGATGGGTCTCCCCATGAATCTCCGCCTGAAAGACGGGCATTGTTCAAATGTGGAGACCTCAAAATGGCATAGCAACATGCAGCAAACATCGGGCAGAATTCTATGGGTACAGATTCAAAGATGTTTTTCAAATGTGGACCCTTGAACCATACCCGCCTTGGGTTGCCTGTCCAGGCATCCAGGACCTTTGAAGAAGTGAAAAGTGGGCTGGGCCTTCGAAGATTTTCTTTGTTCCCGAGTCACAGTACTGAACGCGACTGAACGAGGGTACCGGGTAACACAGATGGTGAACAATATGATGAAGTATATTTATACACATGGATGGCAGTTGCATTACATTGCATGACATTGCATTACAGTATGTTCTCTTATGTTATGTTACATCATAGCACACATTACATTGCATTACGTTACATTGCACTACACTACATTTCTGTATGAAGTCAAACCATTACGAGAAAACAACTTCTTAAATTGACAGCTATTGACTTTTTAGATTCTAGTGTTGGGTTCAGATCACCCCCAGGTCCAATAGTCAGGTGTATGAAGGCAGGCTGTAACGGACCGTGCTGGATGATCTTCACATGTTGTGGGTATTCTCTGATTGCCACTTCTTCATTTGCCTTGTTTCTCTTTTTTCGGTTTGCTTGGATCCCCCACTTGAGCAAAGATCTAAAACGTTCATGCAGAAAGCCTTACTTGAGAGGTCTTGCGAACTACAGCTGTTAACTCCAAATTTTGTGTTCGTTACATGCCCCCTTTTCGCAGTTTCTCAACTGGCCTGGAGGGCTTTGAGGCGCCAGACCACGTGACCTTCAACGTGCGGCAGCGCAGCTCTGGGTTTTGCGAAACTTTCACCCACCGAAAGTGGGGATTTTATAATGAAAAATGGTGATTTAGCTAGGAACATATCAGACATGGTTGACTTTAATATACTTTAATCGTCAAACATCCGGAATTCAACCCGTACACTGGAGATTTTAAATGAAAAGAATCGGGATTTGATTTAATCAATTGGGATTTAAGATTGAGTTTGAACCAACAATTATAGTAAAGTAAGCATGATGTATGTTTTATCCTATGTTGAGTCCATCGATAGAAATCTACGGGGTGGTGTATAGGAATATGGGTTTAGAAATGGATGTGAATGTTATACAGAAACGATAGATTGAGAAAGGAAACCGGCATATATGTTCCCCCCCGCCTCCCCCCCAATGGTGTGGTACCCCCGCCGCCCTTCCAAAATCCATCATTTGCATGCTATGTGTAGCATTTCAGAGTCACGGCCTCCCATTTGCTTGCAATTTGCAGCATTTCAGAGCCCAAATCTCCGACTTGCACCCTATTTGCAGCATTTGAAAGCCATATGCTACCTACATACAACATACGTGCCGTTGATAGTATCTATATGCTTCTTTCTACCTGGTATACTTATATACAAGCCAAGCCATAGCGTATCTACATATGGCCCATTAGTTGCCTCTGATTGGTATATTACCTGTTTTATATCTATATATAACCTATATACTACTTGTAGCGTAGCAAATTATATATGTACAGATATTATACACATATACACGATTATCTATAATCTATACTCATATGCAACATCGAAAACCACCAGACCCCCCAACCTCCCACCACAGGGGGGAGAAGGCAACCACCTAATCCATCATACTTATATTGTACGAGCTAAAACGATATTTAACAACCACCCCCAGGCTACAAATATGCCTTTTGCATCAAATATATACTAGTATGTCTCATGTGTACTTCTACAATCATGCATTTATAGTACATATAATACAATATACACATGTGTACTACATATAAATAACGTACATACACTACCTATAGTTTATCTATAGCTATAATAATATATATTTATATATACATATAAACATATATATATATATTAAAAAGATATTCTACATGTATAAGCCACCTAGTTACTACTCATCTGGCGCTAACATCCACCACTTGTCGCTTATTCCTTCTACTTCGTATGCAACCTCCCCACCCACCCACCCACACCACAGGGGAGGGGGTACCATGACCATGGGTGGGGGGGAGGGGGGGACCCAGAACCCGGAACATATATTTGATGGGGTAGTATCTAGGCTTAATTCATGGTGTATTTCTTTTTGGTATAGTTTAAGGGATTCATATTTACACTGCTTGATTTGGGAACCAAAAAGCTATTGATCTATGCCTATGGCAGGTCTGAGGGTTCTAACCCAGGGGAATGGGAAGCAAAGCATATTGACCTCACTGGCTGACCTCGCCGTTGACGTTCGTTGTGTCGGGTTCTGAAATTTGTTCGAAATTGCCCAGAGTTTCCTGGGTAAGCCTTAGATTATTTTCAGCCATCACATGGCATCATCAATATCCCATACATGGTTGCTTTTTCCCTGTGAAATTGGCTCACCACTGCCGTCCTATATAAATTGAGCATAATTGAGCCATTTTATGGTCAATGTCTGAATTTGCTGTTTGTTTCAACCCCGTAAGCTATCCCGTTTTCGGGGTGTCCAACAGTTGGTTACTGATCTCGACTGATGTCCCATTTTTTCAATCGTGGTTAAGGCGCCACTTTCCTGCCTTCATGCTCCTATGGCAGAACCATTCATGAATTGTTTGATGTGGTCAATAATAAACTATCCTTAATGTCACCAAAATAGGTGGTATAAAGTATAAACCCTCCAAAAATGGTAGGTTTATTACAATTGGAATTACCGATTTACTATATTACTTGTTATTGTCCCTACAGAACAATGTTTTTGGTTTGTAATGGTTACCTGGTTCGTGGTTTAGTGTGTTTATCACACTGGTCCAAAATGGCTTTTGTAGTTCTCAGGGCTAAGACCACCAGCAACTGACAATGAATAACCGTAACTCATCATTTTCTTCGAATGTGCCAATGAATCCAACTCAGAACTCGTTTCTTACATGGGTATGGATCAATACCTATTAATACCAATTTTAGGGGGATGAACATCCATTTACCAGCTATTTTGATGTTCACCAGGGGTACAAGGTTTTGACACACTGCCACATATGAATTCTTCTGTCTGTTAAACCCTATGATTTTCCCCCATGACTCACCATGGTTTCACCATGGGCCTAGTGTGCCATCTCGGGCTGCACGGGCGATGCCTGGCACGTGGCCATCGGCTTGCGGGGCAGCCCGGTTGGAGTTGACTCGGAAAAGACGCACAAAACCATGAGAAGATGGGGAATTCATGGAGATTTCATGGAGATTTCAGCATATTCGGTTGCCAGAACATGCAACGGATTCACGGATTTGCCAGGAAAAGGATCTCGAAATGGTGGATTATACCTATCCCAGTTTACTGCGGAGCAGTTGAAAGCATAGATTTCCGAAGCAAATTGATCCAAGACAGGGAATGCCTGAAGACTAAAGCTAATTTATGTGGATTAACCAACGAAAAGATGGATAGAATGGATAGACATGCTAGTTACTGCTAGTTTTATCCAGGATATATTGGGATTCATCATGTTTTTACGGGGATTGTGTTGAATCCAGTACATCTGGCTGTGGAACATGGGTCACCGGGGTCACCTTGGATCGTTGGATCCCAAAACTGTCGGTCTCTGTGGACCTCCCTATTTGGAGTATGAAGGGTGTAATCCGGATAGACCAAATTGCAACACAATTGCAGCACAATTGACCAACCCCCCGGTGTAATTGGTACAATCTACATGGGTGTCTGCATTGTTGGTGATTCTTTCGGTAAACCTTCGGTTAGGAGGTGAATTGTTCAGTCTCTTAGCCGCTTGGATGGAGGAATCATTTGAACACATCGGATCATCCAGCTTAACATGTTTTTTTGAGCAGTGTATCCATGATATAGCCAGGTTTGCCTCCAATTCACTGATTTTTGCCCAGGTTCAGCGGTCTCTTCAAGTTCAGGCGTTCATGCGTTTTTCCTTTCGCCCAGGGATGGGTTTTGTTGAAAGATGTTGAAAGGGAGTCCTAGGTATGACGATAGGGATGAAATTCCATGGTTCTATCCATGGTTCATCATATTAAAAAATCCAAGTTTTTTTTACATCATGTAATATCAATATCATGAATAATCTTAGTAGAGCAACGTCATAAACCGCCCATATGGATTCATGGGGTCATTGGGGATGGTGGATCCTGTTGCTTAAAAAAACCCAGTTTTGTCGCTCGTCCAGTGTGCAGCCGAGCCACGTGACCTACAGCGCCAGCAGTAGCGCCTCGGCATCGGCGGCGGTCCGGGAACCGAGTGGGAGAAAGGCAGGGCGATTCCATGGGTTTTACAGAGAAAATCCATGTTTTTTTTTCC